TGAGCGTCCAGGATGAAATTGACCGCATCCGAACATGTTACGGGTACCCCCGGGGAAATGGTTAGTTTCTTACTAGGACCATAGCCTGTCATGTGACACCTTAAATCACATGATAGTTCAAAAGCATGCGCAATGATGGTTATATAAAGTCAAGACCAACAATTGAAATGGCCTTAACTCCATTTTGTAAACAAACCTTAAAAGGCCATTTTCTCGCGAACCGAAGTCCGCAAAGGCAAACCAACATAATAAACAGGTAGAAGAAATTCTAATCTACACGATTGTGGTTAAGGTTTGCGAATGAAGGTTTCGGTTCGCGATAAAATGGCCTTACAAGGTTTGTTTACAAAATGGAGTTAAGGCCATTTCAATTGTTGGTCTTGAAGTGACACATTAGACACATTCGGACATGTTACAGGTACCCCCGGGGAAGTGGTTAGTTTCTGATTTGGACCTTAACCTGTCATGCGACACCTCAAATCACACAAGTTCAATGGTGGTTATATCAAGTGCCCAGGACCACATTGGACACATTCGGACATGATCCGGGTACCCCAAGGGATGTGGTGAGATTCTGGACAAAAACCAATTATTCAACAGCTCAAATCACATGATAATTAATAAAACACGTGCAATGATGGTCGTATCAAGTGCTCGGGGACCACATTAGACACATCCCCCCCCCCCCCGGTACCCCGGAAAGTGGCCTTACTTGAATAAAATACCATCATTAGTAATTAGAAACGAGGCCGCCATTGACACATGGTCTTTACATATTTAAATATATCCGCTTGTTTGTTCGAAACTGATGAAAAAATGAGATTTTCACTTTCATTAGCTCAAATTAATGGACCCCTCACTCGCCCAGGGGCCTCACAGTTTTCAAAAAAGTTTAATTTCTAGCAATTCTTATCATATATATCATGATAAATCTTTGAAATTTCATATGGAATCCTCTCTCAAACAACACGTTATTATGAAGAAGATAGAATAGAGCTTTCATTCGGAATGGAACTTTTTTCGGCGGCCATCATGGATTTGGCCGGCATTTTAGATTTTATCGGAAAAACTCATTTAGATTAGAAGAACCGTTTTCGTGCTACGGTTTAATGAAAGATATCGAATACGCCCTTTGACAAATTTGGTGCGGGTTAAAATGGCCGAATTCCAGAACAAATTTGAAGTATTACCAATAGTGTACAATTATGCAAAGATTCATTAAATTCGGAGAGGTAGAGTCTGAAATTCGTCTGGATTTGCTTTTTGGGAGTTTGTCAGAGATCTAATTTCTAATAAGCTCAATGAACATCCTAGAATTGTTGGGAGCTTCTTTTAATTTCAAGGAACGTCACAGATGTTCAGGAACATTCGTTGGTAATGAGCTCATAGATGTTCTGAAGTCGTGGTAGAATTACGAGAACTTGGATTTTGGAAGAAGTTCAGGGAATTCCATAAAAGTTGAGGAAAGCTTCATAAAACTTAAGGAAGTTTTGTAGATATTTAGGGAACGTTGTTTAAGTTATAGGATATTATCTCAGATTTTCTCTCAAGATGACAGGTTGATCAAGAAGAATGATTGAAGATTTCAGTAAAGTCCGCTACATATTTTCCAAGACGTCATGCTGATCAAGTTATTTATTCTGAAAATCTTTATCCATACATTCTACCGTCATCTCTCAGAAATTCTACCAAAATGGTCAGGAAGCCGAAATCTTCATTTATATACCAGAAGTCTTCACTTGTCTGCTTGAAATTCAAAACGTCTTCGAAGTCTTCTACAAAATCCACCTATTGTGAGATCTGACATTATGATTTTTGGGTTTTATTTATGTAGATAAACGTGTTTAAATTATTATTATTATTATTTATTAACGACACTTTACCATCATCGTGGCATTCGTGTCGGTAACGTGTTTAAAGATTTGGAAAAGCCAAACGCGATTTGTGCTTTATTTACGGACACACACGATTTTAAAGGATTGGAAAACCCAAACACTCCTAACCTCGAGATTTAGGCTTAATTTACTAAGATTAACGCATTTAAAGATTGGATCATCAAAACACCCCAACAATCTTGATTTGGGCTTTATTTACGGCCATAAACTGCTTTAAATATGTGAAAAAACCCAAAAACCACTAAAGTCGCGAGTTGGGCTATAGTTACGGTTATAAACACGTTTCAAGATTTGTAAAACAAAAACACACCTTAATTCACGATTTAGGCTTTACTTTGGGAGATAAACGTGTTTAAAGCTTTGGTAAACCCTAACACCCCTAAAATCGCGATTAAGGCATTATTTTCGTTTAAATGCGTTTAAATATTTAGATCACGATTTAGGTCGTAGATATGAAGATAAACGTGTTTATAGATTTGGAACATCCAATCACCACTTAAATCTAAAGGCTTTATTTACGAAGGTAAACGCGTTTCAAGATTTGGAAATCCCACTTGTCCCTAAAATCGAGATTTTTCCTTTATTTACGGAGATAACGCGTTTAAAGAATTAGAAATCCCAACCATCCCTAAAATAACGGTTTGCGGAGATAAACGCGATTAGAAGTTTCCGAAAACTCCAACACCCCTGAAATCGCGATTTGGTCCTTATTTACGAAGATAAATACCTTTAAAGATTTGGAAAACTCAAACACCCCAAAAAATGCTATTTTGATTTTATTTACGGAGATAATCGCGTTTTAAGATTTTGAAATCCAAAACATCTATAAAATCACAATGTTGGCTTCATTTACGAAGACCACAACACCCTTAAGCTCGCTATTTTATCTTTATTTACGTAGATAAACGTGTTTAATGATATCGAAAACACAAACATCCCTAAATTCTCAATTTAAACTAAATTTACGCTTATAAGATTTCGAAGATCGCGTTTAAAGTTTACAATATTGCCAATTCAGAGAAAAATTAGCATTTTGCGTCAGATTATCAGCTTTAATGCTGCGGTTGTCAGTTGCGTTGTATTTTTTCCCCTAAAATGGCAATTCTTTACGTAAATATTTACCTTTTTTGACAAAACCAAGGTAATCATGACGATTGATTATTGAAAACAATATGAATGAAGAAAAGAGACCAGCTGCTGTCATGATTACCTGAGATTTGTCAAATATTGTAAATATTTACATCGATTGTATCGAAGAATAGGCCTCTTAAATACGCCAGCTTGAAGAAAGGCTTGATGATGCAGATTTCAAAATTTTGCAGGACAAGGTATGGATGGGAGAAGAGTTTTCAGTGGCCGGAAGGGCCAAAGTAAACTTCCTGCTGGAACTTTGGTTTGGCAGCTGAACTGGTAGGTGTTGAGGTCGATCGAAAGAAACCCAGGACTCTCGGATCGGGATGTCGCCAAAAAATACGAGGCCAGCTGTAGTACCGTCCGGAGGATCCGTCTGCGAACAGGTTACCGTTCATTCTATGCCTCCAAGCAATCGAACAGAGCAAGCAGACTCTAGTGTCCAGAGCACGCGCCCGGAAGTTTTACGACCGGGTTCTAACGAAGTACAGAGAATGTCTTCTCGTGGACGACTAAAGCTATGTCATTATTGTCATGATTTCAGGCAGGCTACCGGACAAAAGTTTTATCTGGCCACAGCTCGGGGTGATGTCTCCAGCAAATTCAAGGTTCTCGTTCTCGTCTTACATCTACTACATTTTTTTAATACTGCACGTATCGAGACAAAACTTTCACCACTGACGTTTTCTTTCAAAACAAACCGCTGTCAAAACATTTCAAATCCAACTACTAGAGGCACTGCTATAGAATAAATAAAGTGCCTGAACCTCTCTAAATCTTTTGAATAACTTTGAATACTAAATTTAGTACGTCTATTGAGTAGCCCTTGAGTTTCCTTTCACCATAGAATCATTGAAAATAGTAATAAAATACTATTTAAGAAATAGAATCATTTTAAGATTTCAATCCTATACCACACCGTGCAAAATTTTGAAATCTGCATCATGAAGTCGTTTTCCCAAGATGGCGTGTTTTAGATACCAAAACACTCCCAAGCTCGCGATTTCTTTTTTAAGCACCCCTGAATTCACGACTTAGGCCTTATTAACGGAGTTGCATCTTACGGTCACAAAATAGTCAAACGTCGTCCATTGGCCGTGAAGTTGAATGAATAGTGGGGATTATGGAGTACCCGTGCATTATTCCTACCGTACTCTCAGCAGCGAAACCTGGAAACGGTGATCGTTAGCATTTGCGTCATAAAAAAAATCATAGTTAAATGTGTGTAATCATGGTGTGATTGTGTTTTTAAGTTCAAATACCTAAGTAGTTGAGTTAAATAATATTGGCCCTATATCGCATATTAGTCCCATATGGATTGTCATCTACTTTCATATTAAGTAATCCAGAGGTCAAGTTACAGTTCTGCTTTTTGAATCGCCATATTTTTCGTTAATATAACAATACATGCAAGCTTCATTGCACCTGATTTTAACTTGACAAAATTATCGATTAATTTACTATTATTTAACTATTTGTTTTATATTACTTCTGCGTGAAGTCAACAATTTACATAGTTGAAGATGCTAATTTTACCACTCTAGTCTGTTATTTGAAATTAGCATCTTCAACTTTTACTAAGATTGTCTTAATGTTTACAAGGACTTCTCAACCTCAACTGCCATTTTGTCAATGCCTACTTTTTCCATATGGGACTGCTATGGGGTTATAGGCGGTATAGCTCTGCTTTATTTTAAAGGATTTATTGAATATTTAATTTTGAATGTACCTGTCAAAACAACGTAAATGATGAATGATTTTTATGAAATTTGTTTTTCATCTCCTAGTGAGTCTTATTTTAGAAAATTGGGTTAATGAGAAACCGTGTAAGTGAGCCATTTTCTTGAATTAATTTTAAATATAAATTGTATGGTTCGTACCAAGCATCTACCTATAATCCTCATTCATAAATATGTTTACAGCTGTTGCACTAGCAATACCAGATGAATAAACACTCAACGCTGTCCCTCTCTTCATTCCAGTTAAAATATGGGAGAGAAATTATCCCCGTCGATGCCCACTACAGGGCTCACCAAGAAATCATCTCCCGGCAAACAGAGCACATCCGCAAAATCCAAAGAGAAACCCATGAAGCGCAAAAGCAAGGAAGAAAAGCTAAATCAGCTCTTCGGTGAGCCTCCCGTGGATGTTCCGTTCCGCGAACGACCCCAGCAGAAATCCGTAGTCATAACGTACATCCTGTGGCTGTTTGGAGGTTTCTTCGGTCTTCATCATCTATATCTGCACCAAGACCGACGGGCATTCGTGTGGTGGTGTACGTTGGGAGGGTACTTCGGTATAGGATGGCTCTCGGAGATCTACCAGATACCGGCGATGGTGCGGGATGCCAATGAGGATCCACAGTTCGTTGAAGAGTTCCGGGAGAAGCTGCGACAGAATAAGAAACCTCCGTTTCAGACGCCACGCTTCCTGATGGGCATCATGGTGGGCTTCTTGTTCGGGCAGGTCATCATGATCTCGATACCACAGGAGGTATTTGCCGGGGTGGATTGGACCTTCCTGCATTGGCTGATTCCATTGGGTGTGGCAATTGGTGAGTGTTTTTGTGCGGGGGGAAGTGGAACGGTCTTGACTGATATTGACTGTTGAATGTGAATTTTAGGTGTATGGACGGTTGGTAACATGGGTCGCGAGAAGGGAGTGTTCTGGCACTGTCTGGTAGGTGCTTACGTTTCTTATCCGTTGCGATATTTCGTGCTCGATGAAGCGTACTGGTTCACGGCAATGGCCTCTTGTTCGGCGTTTGCTTTCGATTACCTCTCCAAGGAATGGGATTTGACCGTTCCGAAGCGCGAGAAACCCTTGAAGTAAGCGGATCGGTTGGTGCTTGGTTGACTTTTAATAACCGTGGTCATTGCTTTTTTTCTTGTAGACGAGCCACCATCATCATCCCTTGCGTGCTTCTGTACCTGTCCCTGTGGGGATGCTTCTTCTACTTCAATGGAACGATCACCGATTCCGATGGGGACGAAGTTCCGGTTCACGAAGCGATACACAACTTCATCAAGTCTCCATGGTGGACCGATTTGAAGCAGACCATTTCGGACACGATACAATTTGCCCAGCATAACGGGTGGGCAGAGGTGTGGAAACAGATCATAGATTCCATGGACGCTGATGGGGAGCAAAATGCGTACAAGATACTGGGAGTGAGTCCTACGGCTTCACAGACCGAAATCACGTCGGTGTGGAGAAAGCTGTCCCGTGAGAATCATCCCGATAAGGTGAAAGAGGAAAGCCAACGCCGGAATGCCCAGGAAAAGTTTATGGAAATTCAGCAAGCGTACGAAATTCTGAGTAAGATCAAATCCAAGAGACGACAACGGAACAAGAAGTCTAATGAAGATCTTTAGGATAATTGATATTACAATCATCTCATGTCATGCTTTTAAATTATTTTTGCACTGAATTGATTTCCAATCCAAGCTGTAAATATTTATTGATATTCGAATAAAAAACTCCAAACTTCTATAGCTTTAAAATGACAAAATCACAGGTTGTTAGTATGCGCATTTAAATCAGAGGACACGTGGTATCTACAACAATCAAAACGCTGTGCATTAGTGGGTGAATGTCGGTCAACTTCACGTAGCTTCCTTTCGCTTGTTGATCCTTGGACGAGTAGAGGCTGAAAAATGAACGTTCATGATTATTTGATCGTCATCAATTATCTCTAGAATGCATACGCCAAAATATCAACCGGATCCAAGATTGTCTCGTACTTGTAAACAGATGTCAAGAAGTTGGTGAATGCAGCGGTACTGTTCCCGATTGACGTGCTATCCGTTACCTGCAATCAAAGATATGTTATCACAGCCCGACCGGATTAGCTTATTTGACTTTCACACCCTGCTAGGTTGATTGTTGTTCGAAGTTTCTGAAGGTACCGTGCTGATGTCCGTTTCGGGAATTCCGAGCCTCGTGCCCCAGAACAATACGCAGTTATCATCCGAGGTAGCCACCACAAACGATGAATGACATCGTATATTCTGTCGATAGGGAATTGATAAGTAACTAATGAGTGGGACCTTATTCTTGCCACAATAACTCTTACCGTGATAAATCGTGTCATCAAATTCTTCAATATTGTGGGCTCCACGTGCTCATTCGTGTTGCCTAGTCCTCGCTGACCACTGGTGTTTTCCCCAGCTGTAACAACATAGCCACCTTCAACCAAAAACGCCCCGTACGTCTCCGCCACACTCACGGCCACTATCTTCTGCTCCACGAAGGTCACCTTCTGCAGAGCCATCAGCTGCGCAATCTTCATTCCAAATCCCAGCTTGTTGTTGTTGTTACTTCCACAGCAATAGCACGATCCACTTTCCGTCAGAGCCACCGTGCAATCCGGACCACAGTATACCTCCCGGATGTTCTGAATCATCTGCGTAATGATCAATCGACGTGGTTCAGCACTTGCCAACATCTGCTTGCCCAGACCTAGAGCTCCATCGTTGCTCGTACCCCAAGTGTACAAATGTCCCCCGTCGGCTAGGGCAACCACGTGTTGTGATCCGCAAGCTACCCATTTGATGTGAACGTTGTTCAACTTTTCCACTATCTTCGGAACGAGAAGTGAGATCCGATTACCATGACCTAGACATCCGTGGGTGTTGTCTCCGCAGCTCAAGACGACGCCCAGGTTCGTCCAGAATAGTGTGAAACCATTGCCGGTGGCTGTCCTGGAAGAGGAGTTTTCAGAATAATTTTAACGAAGCTGTTGAACACACACGAGCTAGGTCGTGACTTACCCAACGACGTTGTATCTTCGAATGGCTTCCACCCTGGTGGGATAATGACGCCATGTTTCTAAAGCGTTGTGACCCAGTTGACCTTTGTTACCTTCGCCCCATGTGTAAACCGATCCGTCTGGAAGTTTTAAACGATTGACAGAGTTGAAACAATGTTTTGTGGAACCTTCGATGGATGTTTCGAGGAATCTGGACAGAGTACCATGGATGGATTCCGGGGTAAAACCATAGAGGTAACTCTAAGACCACTGGGTCCCGAAGAAAATCATTATTATTTTTGGCTCACTCAGTACCAGAACAACGGTCCCAAGCAGTCCCAAGCTATTTCACTCACCCCTGCATGTTCTGCATGAATCCACACACCCCTGATGTTATCTGTCAAACTTTCATAGCGAATCAAAACAAACATAGTGTAGTAATAGAATTTCAACTAGAATAGGGTACGTTAATCGTTTGCTTGGGACCAATAGGCTACTAAAGTGGTGAGCCAATTTAAAATCGTTAGTTTCGTATTGATTGTTGGTAAAACCTTGATATACTAGACGGGAGATTACGGATCTCATGGGATTTTTTGCGGGCAGATCTATACATTTACGCTAGTGTAAGTGTGGCACCTTTGATAATTGTGGTTCAAAAAATGGCATTGACAGCTAGAATTTGAATATCATATCAGGCCAAATAGGCCAATAGAGCTAGGGGCCTCCGTTCCCAAGTATCAATTTTGGGTTTATGATAGTTCTGTAGACCATGATGTAGGTTTGTAGAATGCTATACAACCTCAATAAAGCTTGTAATATTACTTGAGATTAGCTCAGTCCTTAAAGGTGCAGCTATAAAGCAAGACCATGCTGCAGGCGGCTGAGTGTAATTGTATAGTATCACAAACAAACAGACGTAGCTCTTTGAAAAAGTTTTTCTTGAAAACATAGTATCTCAAAACATAGGACCTCAGTAACGACATCTCGCGGGCTTCTCGCGGAAAACAAGCTTGCTCGCTGTATAGAAACGTCAAAGTGATCCGATTCCAGCGCTCTGGCGAGTAGTTCACGGAACTGATAATATTCAAATCAACCGTTAAATGCGTGAACGAAGATACACGATGAAGAGCTACGTCTGTCTGTGATTGTATTATGGACTATGATTTGGTCTAGAAGAATGCTTTACAACCTCGATAAAACCTCCAATGTTACTTGGGCGGTCTAGGAATGTTTAGAGTTGGAATATTTCTCGGCTTCCCTGGGCATAGAGTATCATTGCAAATATAAGTGGTATTTTTTGTAATTTAAAAAAAAATCCAGAAAAGCGATAACAAATGATCTTGAGTTTTTCGAAAAATGCTGAGTCTCTGATTCTAATTTTTATCAAGGATGCTCTAAATCCGAGCGTGCCAAAAAAAAAAATCAAGTTAATCAAGCGGTCTCCCACATTACCAAATCCTATTTTTTGAAAATCCTTGAAATTTACTTTGACTATATGTTTATAGCATTACTTCTGCGTGAAGTCAACGATTTACATAGTTGAAGATGCTAATTTCAAATAACAGACTAAAGTGGTAATTTTTATACGATAGATGAGGAGATGATTGTATAGAATTGATAGTTCCGTCAGAGTACGGCAGTGTGAAAAATTGCATATAGAGAGTAGAAAGCGAACAAGGACAACTTTAGGAAGGTACAAATCAGTTTGATCATCTCTCTTTACCAAACTCCTCCGTTGGAGAGGGGAGGTGAGGGGTATTTCCCCCGCCACTACCTGGCAAAAAGAGATGATCACCGATACGCTCAAATACCGACGATGTGTTTTAAACAGTTCTTCCGATTTTTACCGCACGCCAGTTGTTATCTGAAGGAAGGCATCCAGTCGTAGCTATTTCTCGCTTTCTACTCTCTATATGCAATTTTTTACACTGCCGTACTCTGATGGAACTATCAATTCTATACTTTCATCTCCTCATCTATCGTATTAAAATTATCACTTTAGTCTGTTATTTGAAATAAGCATCTTCAACTATGCTTGAAATTTAGTAGATCCTGAAAGTACGGTATTCTCTAAATTAGAAATTTCCAAAATATTTGCTAGGTAGGTCTTTGGAACCTCTACGAAGCCGAGGGATTTCTACAATTTTTAAATTATGTTTGTTGATTTTATCAGCATTCTTTTTCCTCGCCTGATCGCTTCTGCCGTCGCTGGTAGTAGCATAGAGGTAACTCTAAGACAAGTAGGTCCCAAAGAAACGTGCTCAACTTTTTGGCTCACCTCTGGTACTATCTTCGGTCCCAAGCTTGTCGAATCACCCCTCGAAACATAGGAAAAACCAATAACCCCTCATTTTATGTGTCAAAATTTCATAGCGAATCAAAACAAACATTGCGTAGTACTAGAATTTCGACTAGAATAGGGTACGTTAATCGTTTGCTTGGGACCAATAGGCTACTAAAGTGGTGAGCCAATTTAAAATCGTTAGTTTCGTATTGATTGTTGGTAGTAGTTCAGTGGCTAATGGGCTTCATCTTTGCTTGCTTTATCGGTCTCCGAGGCCGTTACTTCTTTCTATCCCACCTCTTCATTAAACATCTCTATTACTTCCTCTGTTGCCTTACTATTGCTGTCCAATGTTGCAGGTCCAACCCCTTCACCAGTATTCTTTCCTGTATTTAACGTCGGTCTCTGTTCCGCAATCTAGTGCCAATCACCGACGGACATCGATTGCCATCCATTGACGGCAATCGAATGTGCAGGAAGGCAGCTTCCACACCTGCGTAGGATATCGCACCCATTCAACACACATGGGCTGGGATCAACGGCTTTACTTCCCTTCCGAAGGAAGACGTGACCAGAGATTTTTATGCCTTAGAAAAATCCAACCGACCTCGGCTGGGATTGAACCCAGACCCATCGGGATGTTAGAAAGCAGTCACGCTCACCACTACACCACCGGCGCCGGCTAAGCCCTTCACCAGTATGTACAGTGCTATTTGAGATGCTACCGTTTATGTTCTCCATTAGTTGTCTCTGCGTTTTATACTTGGAGCAGGAATTTTTCCAGTGCTCTCCGTCTTGCATAAGAAACATTTATTTTTAATCCCTTCAAGCAATATATTCTCCTTGTGAAGCACCTCAGACATCTAGGATATTCAATGGATTTCTCGGAAGTTCAAGGTTTTTTTTCTCTCGAAAGATCCGAGGAGCTCTCGGAAGTTCTATAGATTTTTCGGAATTTCAACGAACTTCTCGAAAGTTCTATGGGCTTCTCGAAAATTCTACGGACTTTTCGGAAGATCTACAGTCCTTCAAATAACTGACTGGCTATTGGAAATTCTTCGAACTTCTCAAAAGATCTACAGACTTCTCGGAAGTTTTACGGTCATTTTGGAATTTCTACAGACTTCTTGGAAGTTTTGCGGACTTTTCGGAAGTTCTACCATAGAGGTAACTCTAAGACCAGAAGATCCCGAAGTAACGAGCTTAACTTTTTGGCTCAGCTCTGGTACTATCTTCGGTCCCAAGTTAATCAATGCACCCCTCGAAACATTGTAAAATCCATGAACCCCTCATGTTATCTATCAAACTTTCATAGCGAATCAAAACAAACATAGTGTAGTACTAGAATTTCGACTAGAATGGGGTACGTCAATCGATTTGCTTGGAACCAATAGGCTAGTCAAGTAGTGAGCCAATTTAAAATCGTTAGTTTTCAACCGGTGGTTCTACGGTATGTTAAACTATGACACGGACTTATTGGATATTCAACGGACTTCCCAGATGCCATATTGACTTTTCAGAAGTTCTATGGACGTCTTGGATATTCTACGGACATTTCGGGAATTCTACAAGTTTCTCAGAAGTTTTACGGACATAGGTAGTTCTCCGGAAGATCTACGGACTTCATGGAAGATCCTCGGACTTCTCGGAAGATCTACGGACTTCTCGGAAGTTCTACGGACTTCTAGGTTTTTTCTCGGATTTCTCAAGCTTTAAAAGAACAGTTCCTACAACTTCCTTTTCCGACATCTCGAACAACACCGCACTTCCCCGACAGCTCCAGGAACAACTTGAAACATCTGACAAGCTTGACTAAAAAGATCTGTGAACAATACTTTTTTTTATAGATATTCCGATATGTTCTTCCGACACGCTCATGGATTTTACGAAAAGTAAACGGAACCTCCAGAAAGTGAAACGGAAGTTTTGGCTAATTCATGGATCTCACTACTGTTCACGAAACTCTCAATGTTTCTAGGGTTTTTTTTTCTAAAAAGTTCAAGGAACTTCCCTCTTTGTTATTCCATATTGTCAAATTCTTGGGATAATTTCAACTTAGCAATTTTAAACCAAATGAGCCATCTGTGCCCTTTTAAAGTTAATAAATGTGTCACATAGCATCGTCGTTAAATTGATGTGATTTTAGAAAATTTGACTCATGCTATAAGATCTCACAAATTAAAACTATAAAAAATATGGTGAAGTGACGTCGTGGATGAACAGACCCCCCCTCCCCCGTTTTCTACATTTGGCCACGTTTTCTTAACCCGTAACGTAATTTATGGATCCTCCGTAGGTAAAAATCTCTATTTAGTTTTGTAAATTCCAAGTAACTTTTCCACCCCTCAGGATATTTTTGGTAGCAAATGCTACCTTCGCCACCTGCTGAGTTTGGTGCTGCATTAACACAGTAATGCCAACAATCAATACGAAACTAACGATTTTAAATTGGCTCACTACTTGACTAGCCTATTGGTCCCAAGCAAACGAATAACGTACCCCATTCTAGTCGAAATTCTAGTACTACGCAATGTTTGTTTTGATTCGCTATGAAAGTTTTACAGATTAAATGAGGGGTTAGTGGATTTTCCTATTTTTCGAGGGGTGAATCGATTAGCTTGGGACCGAAGAGAGTACCAGAGCTGAGCCAAAAAGTTGAACACGTTATTTCGGGACTAGTCTTAGAGGTACCTCTATGGTAATACCAACAATCAATACGAAACTAACGATTTTAAATTGGCTCACCACTTTAGTAGCCTATTGGTCCCAAGCAAACGAATAACGTACCCTATTCTAGTCGAAATTCTAGTACTACGCAATGTTTGTTTTGATTCGCTATGAAAGTTTGACAGATAAAATGAGGGGTTATTGGTTTTGCCTATGTTTCGAGGGGTGATTCGACAAGCTTGGGACCGAAGATAGTACCAGAGGTGAGCCAAAAAGTTGAGCACGTTTCTTCGGGACCTACTTGTCTTAGAGTTACCTCTATGGTAATACCATAGAGGTAACTCTAAGACGAGAAGGTCCAAAAGAAACGTGTTCAACTTTTTGGCTCAGCTCTGGTACTCTCTTTGGTCCCAAGCTAATCGATGCACCCCTCGAAACATGCGAAAATCCACGAACCCCTCATTTTATCTGTCAAACTTTCATAGATAATAAAAAAAAACGTAGTGTAGTACTAGAATTTCAACTAGAATGGGGTACTTTAATCGATTTGCTTGGGACCAATAGGCCAGTCAAGTAGTGAACCTATTTAAAATCGATAGTTTCGTATTGATTGTTGGTAATACCTGGTTGGTATTGCGGAGTCCCATATGGCAATCTGTTTCACCTCAATCTAGTTAAATCCGAATTAATCTTACCATTCATCACCGCCACAAAGTGCGACCCGTTGGTAGCGATCTGCTTGATCTTCCCCGTCGGTGGTAGCTGCAGTGGAGTCAAGCTGGTCGCACTACCAAACGATTTGAGCTGGTAGAGTACCGACCGTTCCGTCAGCGGTAGATTGTTCATGGTGGCCGTTGAAGCTTCCATATAGTCTCTGGTGGCCGTTCCCATCATCGGCACCGTTGGTTGATCCTTTGCCTCCGCTGTCATCATCATCGACTTGTTAAGGTAGTCGGATGAAATGTAGCGGAAACCATCGTTTTTCCCTAGATTCCTGTAGATGAGCGGGATCCAGTATTGGAGGATCTCGGCTGCCGAAGGCCTGTCCTGGGGATCAATTTGCAGCATCAAGCTCAGAACGTGTTTCAGAGTGTCAGAGTAACCTTCCGGGATGGGTATGTATTTGGCTGTCATGATCTTCGAAACCAGTTCGGATAGATTAGATGCGGAAAATGCTTTTTTGAAGCATGCCATTTCGCCTACGATGCAACCCAGGGCCCAGATGTCGCTTTTCTCGTCGTATTCTTTGCCTTCGCACTGGAAGTGAATTTGAATAAGTCAATTGGGTTAGCAACTTATGCCAATTCTTACCATCTCCGGACTAAAGTAGTACGGCGTCCCCAGAACCGTTTGAGCGTGAATTCTTGTGCTCATAATTTTCGATATGCCAAAGTCACCGATCTTGACGATTCCCCTCTTATTTAGGAATACATTGGCCGTCTTCAAATCCCTATGCAGTATGTTCTGCGAGTGCATGTAATTGATTGCACTTGTAATCTGCTCGAAAATATTCAATATGAACCGCTCCGGCAGACGCTCCCCGTGGCTCTTCTCGATCAAAATCTGCGCCAGTGTTCCCTTGTCGGCGTACTCCATCTCTATGAACAGGTAGTCCCCGCGGACAAAGCTTCCCAAATAGGCAATTATATTCGGATGATGCAACTTGGAGAAAACCTCCACCTCGTTCATCGCCAGATCCCGTTCGGATTTGGTCAAATCGGATAGATTGATTTGCTTCATCACCACCACTTGACCGTCGGAGTGCCTTTCGTAGAGCACGGCTACTCCAAACGATCCCTGCCCTACGTTACGAATTCGACGGTATCCGGTAAGTTCAATTTCGCTCTCGCTTTCATTGCCACTGTCTTTCGGAGTGCCGGAGTTTTGAAGCGAGCTTTCGTTGAGTGATTTTAGGCCCGATAAGGAAAGGTCTTTGAAGCGGGACAGTGTCGACAGGTCGGTTGATGGAGGGGACTCGGTTGATTGTGGGTTCCTGCTGGTGGAAACGGTGAAGGTTTTGCTGAGTGGTTGGGAATTATGCATTTTTGATAATTTTCTGGTTTGTGTTCGTTGGTAAATATGCACTGTGTTGCGACACTATTCGGTATGAGATGACTACTGTTTGCGGTGCATAATTTCTATAGTGATTGAAACATATGTTTGTGCGCATGGGCGTACTTTTGGCGGCAGTTTCCCCAACAGATTCAACTTGATGTAGATAATCCATGTGATTTATGCATGACTCTCAGCATATTTCAAGATGGCTAGTACATGTCCACTTTTCAGTTTGAAGTGCAATTAAGATTGATTTATCAACTACAGAGTGGCTATCTCATGTTACGAAAGACAGTGGAGTGTCTGCTTCTGATAAGATTAATAGCTCATCGATCAGATATATTGCTGGCTCTCATATTCAGCAGCTGAAAGTAAACACTGGTCAGTCACTTGGTAATTGCATTCCCGATTGAATGGCTTACTCAAGCTTGGTTGTTGCATTCTCAGCCATCCTGGTCCTATCCGCAGCGGTAGGTCAGGAGCTGTTTCCGCTGTCGATAATCCATGTGAACGATTTCCACGCAAGGTTCGAAGAAACCAACTACGCCGGGACGGTTTGTAATCAGGCAGTCGGAGACGTCTGTATCGGTGGCTATGCTCGGATGGTTACCGCGGTCAAGCATTTACTGCAGATTCGGAACAACCCGGTGTACTTGAATGCGGGTGATAACTTTCAGGGAACGCTTTGGTACAATCTGTATCGCTGGAATGTGACTACGACGTTCTTTAATATGCTCCCGGCGGATGCTATGGTGAGTTCAGAACTACCTTACATCATCAGCAAGAACAGGTCCATTTCTCTTTCATCTAGACCATTGGAAATCACGAGTTCGACAATGGAGTCTCAGGAGTGGTTCCATTCATGGAGACACTTGAATCTCCGATTTTGCTGTGCAACATAGATAGCAGTGACGAACCAGAGTTTGTCAAATACGAGAAATCGATGGTTATCGAACGTGCGGGAAGGAAAATTGGAATCATCGGTGTCATTTTAAAGAGTACTCCAGGTATGTCTAATCCTGGAAAGCTGCGGTTTCTTGATGAACCTTCTAGTGTTAAAGCTGAAGCACAGATATTGAAGGATCAGGGAATTGACATCATCATTGTGTTGTCCCATTGTGGACTGGAAGTAGACAAGAAGATAGCGGCTGACGGAGGTGAATACATCGATATAATCGTGGGTGGTCATTCACACACATTTTTGTACACTGGAAATAACCCTGGCATTCCCGGAACCGTGCATGGATCGTATCCAACTTTGTTTACTCAAACGGGAGGTCATCGGGTGCTGATTGTACACGCGGCTGCTTATACCAAATTGGTAGGAGATATTGTACTCTACTTTGATGAACAGGGAATCATTCAAAGCTGGGAAGGCAATCCGTTCTATTTGGGTCCTGAAGTTGTTCCGGATCCTTCAGTCCTCGAAGCGCTTCTTCCGTGGAAGGTTGCTGTTGATGAGCTCGGTAATCGAAAAATTGGATCTACGATGACTGATCTATCTCAGCAAGGATGCAACTACAGGGAGTGCGCCTTGGGGGATCTAATAGCAGACGCTTACGTAGATTCTTGCACCTATATGGCTGAATATGGCCATTGGACGTACGCTGCGATTGGACTGTCGAACACTGGAGGGATTCGGGTTAGTTTGTTCAAAGGAGGTACGTCAAAAATATACCTAATTTTGAGTCTATCCTATCTCTATCCTCATTTCAGATCTATCGTACAAAAGCCTGATCGAAGTGATACCATTCGAAAATACAGTCGATATCATTGAGCTACGGGGAGACCATCTACTGCGCGTGCTAGAGCACGGTGCATCAAACGCTAACATTCAGATCTCCGGTCTTCGGGTGGTCTACAACATGACGGAACCACGTGGAAATCGGGTGAAATCCGTAAATGTCCTGTGCTATGATTGTTTGGTACCTCGCTACGATCCATTGGATGCATTCCGGTACTACCGAGTGGCAGCCAACTCCCACATGACCGGTGGTGGAGGAGGATTTACAATGTTCGAAGAGTTTGGCCGGAACAAGGTGGTCGGTGAAGTGGATATCAATGCCCTCGAGAGATTCGTTCGGAAACGGTCCCCGCTCTTGTATGGTTTGGACGGTCGGGTTACCGTTGTGGATTGAAATTGGAAACCGACGAAATTATACTGGAGGCACGCGACACGAGTTTGCAATCTGACTGAATGATTTTGAAGACTAATTGTTACTGATTGTTTTGGGAAGCATAAATCAAGTTTCGATACGAGGTAGAAAAACAAACTGTACAACTTCAATTATATGCACTTGATTGAAACCGATTGAGTGAGACGCGTGCTTTGGAAGAATGGCGTCACGCAACAAAGATGGATTTATGGCTGTAGGCAATTTATTGTGGTTATTGAGTGAAAAATGTGATAAGATTGTTTGAATAATCTTTCACTTGGTAGACGTTGTCGCGTTGCGATATTGGGCGGAATTTTTCAATGGTGAGATTTTTTAATTATTATACTCTTGGTCTGTTTAATTCTTATATGTATCGTTTGGGAGAGGAATTTCACAATTTTTCTCTGATAGTAATATCGGAAAAGTAGTCTGGTTGGTGAATTTAGATTTGATAAATAATAATCAACTAATTTCTAAAAATATTTTCATTTTCACTTGTACAGTGGCACATTCAAAACAAACTACCTAGATAACCTTTCTCAAATACAGTGGTGCTCACCCAACGAGTTTGTGGGGCCCGCGAAATGCTTTCAGGCTGTGGAATGTGAAATGTACCCACTAGGGTGGTTTAAAATATCGATTTAACTCCACCAAGCTCACTCAATTTCAAATCAGATGGTCAAATGATGATTCTCATTCAATTTGAGCTCATTTGGATGCGAACTCATACTGCTCTGACCCTTTTAAGTTTATATGGGAATTACTATGGAAAAAGTCAACTTCCCAACTAACAATTTTCACAATGTAAACGCTTTTCTCATTTAATTTATAAAGCCTCAAGCTGTATTCAAACGTTATACGATATGTGGAAACCTTTACTCAACCTCTATACAAGCAAATCTGACGAACTTAGTCAGCTACTAACGGCTGTTGGAACGGTCGGGAGAAGCTCTTATTGCATATCCATTAACGCTTCTATACAGCTGTTATCCTGCTGTTTAGTTGTGTGTGAACTTGAAAGGCGCTTACTCAACCTTTTCCCGGTTATCCAATAATCACTACACAGCTTTCTCTTGAAGCCTGGTTAAATAATGTTTACGCTTTTTTATGAAGGAATTTATTTAGATTATTTTGCTGTGAATCAAATTAATCGAAATTAGTTACAAATCATCACCAAATTATTTACCCTGCACCGGAACCTGGAATCGAACTCGAGACGACCTCATTGACAAACCTTGACACTACCAACTGTGCTACGCCAACACTTTGAACTTATGTAAACAAATCAACATTCCCTTCTACAACAAAATCGCTGAGTAGAGGCTTTATAATAGTGCACAGTGCACTCTGCTCTCGACTAGTTATAAAAGAGCAGAGTAAAAGCTGTAAAACTGCACACGTCTAAAAATAAACCTAGTTGACTGTGAAAATGCTTCCGAAGTTGCTCTAACACAGTTTATAAGCTGAGTACAGGTTGTTTAGTTGTTGAAAAAGCACTTTTGATGTTTATGTTATTCAGCAAGAGTGGTTGGTTGTTTAGAAGCCATCAAATGAGTAATATATTCACTTTGTTAGCTTTTTTTGCAGCTACAAGTTGAAAGTTGATTAGTGTGTGTATAGAAGTGACATTAGCGTTTATTGGCTGATGTTATTCAGTACGACTGACAAATTGAATAATGGTTGTGAGAAAGTTGAGTAAACGCTCTTCAAAACTATTTTGCTAGCTTTTGCTTGTAGCTGAATCTGCAGCTTCTTTTCAGGTACTTTACAGCACAACGCTGGAAAAGTTGGCTTACAAAGCTGAAAATGTTAGCTGGGATTTCTGTTCTCTTCGTATTAGATTTTCGCTATAATGATTTTCGGGTGAGCCTGCAATCTACACTTATAGGAAATTTTCTCAGCTGAGTACTTTTCTCAATACCACATTTTAATTGAACGTCAGGATTAGTTATTAATTAGTTAGGAACATAATATTCTTCCGACACATTTATGCAACATTTATGTAACATAAATTGCTCAACAGACAACTGCGCTGAGTTCGCATCCAAATGAGCTCAAATTCTGGTACATTTGTCAGGACTTGATTTTGAATCGTTTGAGCTTGGTGGAGCAAAAGCGATATTTTAAACCACTCTAATGCCCACAGACCAAATATTACAAAGATACTTCGTGTGTTTTGTAAATTCATAATATTCCTTATGCCCAGTTAAGGTGAATCGCTGTGACATCTTTATTCTCGAAATTTTAAGTGCACAAATCTCAGCTTCTATGACACGTGCAACATTCAAATTGTTGCTACACTTTTGCTGGACTGCAGCATACATGAAGTAGCAATTTCAGGTGAAATAGGGCACCGATTTCCGAGATTTGTGTAATTGAAAATTCGAAGTGGAAGTGCATGCATATCCTACGTGGCCATTTGGTGGCCTCTACAAGGAATCACCTTAATAAATTTCGAATTGAGCTTCTTTTTCAAAATTTTCCACTGAATGCTTCCAGAAGCTCTTTGATATTCTCCTTAGAAGTCCCTTGGAATCTTCCTCGTGATTCGCAAGAAACTATTCTCTGAATTGTATTAGCATTAGAATTATCTTGAAACTATTATCAGATCGCAATTGCCTGGATTTATGATCAGAATTCATTTGGAACTCTTTTCATGATGCCCTTCTAGTTTTTGTAAGGATTACGTTCTCGACATTTTGGCCATATGGCTGCGGCTTTGCTCACCCCAATTCCAATCAATCAGTCTAAAACGCCATTAGTCTCATTAGAACTCCTTATTATTGATCTTTTGAATTATTTCGTTACAATTTGCCCCAAATTACCGTTGGAATTTTCCCAAAATTCGGTTATATATATTTTTTTTAAATTTTCTGAATTCTTCTCAATACTCTCACGACACTATCCTATCATCAGTGTTCACTCTGCTGTCGACAGAAGCAGGCCACTCTCTATGTGTGTCACGCGATCGTCTGTTTACTCGGCAGCAACCATTGTGCGTCGTCGACTTTGGAAAGCAACCATTTCGAGATGAGTGTGTGAGTGATGACCACGTCCATTACTACAATGGAAGCGCTCTGAACCCGTTGGCGTTACTGCCATACAATGAAACCACTGCACAATGGTCCCAAAGCCGTATTTATGGCCTGTTTACACTTATGCTAGTTAACTAGCGCTGATGAGCTAGCTGCTAGCAAAAAAGCTCACCAGCATGATGTAAACAGTTTCTAGCAGCTAATTTCAACTAGCTGGTAGATGCTGACGCCCTGTATACATCATGCTGGTGAGCGTTTTAGCTAGCAGCTGGCTTATCAGTGCTAGTGAAATAGCATAAGTGTAAACACCCCATTAGAATGACGAAAATGTTTGCGCCCAAACCATCAGTTTTAGGTACCTGGTATCTTCGGGAATGTTTCTTCATATGTTTTGGCCAATCTTTTTATATTAGTGAAATTAGGGTGGTCCACAAATTTGGTTAATTGAAAATACAAACTTTTTTATTATTTGAGATAGACCAATGCAGTGTTGTAAAAAGTTGTGAACTACCAATTTGAAGCAACTATTACTAATAATTCAATTAACTCTAAACCTAATTTGCTACTACTACTAACGTAATTAATTTTTATTCTACTTATTCCCAGTACTACTACAATTGTATAGCACTCATTTGTAGTACCAGAATGGTGGGTTCGGTGCGAATCTATAAAATAAATTTGGAAACTGGTTGAGAACAAACACTCTGAATTCTCTTTGAGTTCTTCTCAGTGAATTTCACTTTTAGTGTCAAAAACAAGATCAATGACAGCCAAACCGGGAGCACAGGATCACATTGGTCGCATCCGGTAATGTTCTGGATAACTCCGAGGAAGTGGCCAGATTCGACTAGAACTACCATCATACGACACATCAACTTACATCAGAATTCATAAACAACATCAATTACAGCTTAGTTGAGTGCTCAGGACAACATTGGTCACATCCGGCCATGTTCCGAGCAGGGATGCCATTCTCCCCAGTGTAAGCAGGGTGATGAGTTGAAAAGACACCTCGCACTATGACAAAAGCAAACTCACCCGAGAGATCTTTATTTTGTTTTCAGTTTCTATCGCTTCTCCCACTTCGCAAACAAATACAGTTTCTGACCTCGCACCTCCACCAGTCCAACACACCGGAGCGTATAAGTGATCACTAGGGAGCACCGTAGAGAGTTCGTTTGCTTCACCGGGGATAATCACCCCGGTGAAGACTTTGGTTGTTAGTTTGTTGCTAAGAGGAAGAGGAGACAACAGACTTCTTACTCTTTTATCTCTATTTCTATCTTACGCATTTCCAATCGGCCAATCACGAGCTGGTTCGCGCTTGACCCCGCGTTTTTGCCCCCGTATTGTCTTCTCTTCCTCTTAGATTTGTTGCATACAAAGATTTTTTAAAAGTTACTTTTTCTATTAACGTACAGTAGTCAATTATTTTAAAATTTGGTGTACACATTTTGGAAATGCGAATACAGGAAGTGCATCAGCGCACCATTATTGAAATTTGCTTCAGTTTACTGCAAGGGAGACATGCGACAGAGATCGATAAGTATCACAGCGGGAGTTCCACAAGGCTCCATCCTTGGTCCAACGCTCTGGACCGGAATGTACAATGGCGTGCTAACGCTGAAGCTGCCCAAAGGAGTTGAGATTGTTGGCTTTGCGGACGACACCGTCTTGACGGTAACAAGCGAGACGCTGGAAGAGGTGGAAGTGCTGGCGACCGAGGCGATCGACATGATTGGTAACTGGATGTAAGGAGCGAAGCTGCAGATGGTCCATCATAAAACGGAAGTTCTATCGGACAGTAACTGTAAAGCGGTACAGCGGGAAGAAATCACCGTCGGAGGCATGCCATAACCTCAAAGTGGAAGACCGCGAGTGCTACAGGCGGAGGGAAGCCGGAAGAGTACGGAAAGTTGTGAGAGCGGAGTCGTTGGCTAAGTGGCAACAGGAGTGGAACACGGCAGAGAACGGTAGATGGACACGTAGACTAATAAAGAGATGAACCAGCCTCTGGCTGAAAGTCTCGCTATTGAAGATAACCTAACCTAACCACGTAGACTAATACAGATTTTTTTCGACCTGGGTGAACATAAATCACGGAG